TATTAGGCTGAAGGTGAACTCCACAGTGTTGAGACCAGGGAGCTGAATAAGAAAACATAAACAGTCAAGCAAAATATAGGATCAAGATTTGGACAGAGACAGACACTGCAGCTGAGATCGTCACAGTAGGGCTGTGAGCGAGACCAACATTCCAGTTCCAAACAAGGCAATGCAAAAAAAAAAATTTTTTTTACTAGAAAAAGTAAAAAAATTCAAAGGCAGCAAAGCAATAGATTGTGAGGCTGATCACAGGAACTTTCTTCTTTTATCCTTGTTTATGTCGACTACAAAAGTAAGTTCTGAACATCTAGCTATCATAAAATAATGTGTCCATCCGACTCTGCATCCATGATCCACATCCTAGCTACTTGCGCAACCCCCGAAAAAAGCTGTGAGTGGCAAAAGCTCTCCTTCTAGACAATTCCCTAATTGATTTTTCTTCCAAATGGCAAGAGAGAGAGATAATTTTTCAGCCGGAAGGAATGAAGTGGAAAATGGGGGGAAGGGAACAAAAAAATGGAGCCATGACGCATGAGAAAGAACAGGACTCAGTTAATGAGATTTTCGGGGCATAGGGTCCTTAGGAAGAGAAGAGAGAGCATAAACCATGATTCCTGGGGAAAGTAATTATAGCAGAGGGCCAGAAGGAAGGCAGAGAAATGCTGTGAGATGCATGAAATGGTGCTTGGAATCTTCCAGGAAAAAAAAAACACCAGAAACTAACAAACAAATAAACAAAATGTGATGAAGTCAAATTTCTTGTATCTAGAAGGGAGTAGAAGATAAATTCCTAAGCCAGAACAGCAACTGTGGGGCTGACCCAGGACTCCCCAGATTGCAAAAATTGGGTTTGTGCCGTTTTCCTAATATCCAAGGTGCAGGAAGGTCTCCAGTATTCTTCCAGCTTCTCAGGAGGACTTTGACTTCGGCTTTGCTCACCCTCCAGTGGGCACCTTTAGGGATCTGAGTTCACAAACTCAGCTCTAGCAATGACCCAAGAAAACTTGCCTATTGGGTTGGTGTTCACACTCCCTATGATTTTGAGGAAATGGAGAGAGATTCAGACACCTTGTTCTCTGTCATCACCTGTGTCTTATTATTTGGGACAATTTGTTCCAATTACCACCATTAGAACAAAATAGCAGAAAGTGAGCTTTTTCAAAGCTGTTTGGTAAGCACTTCTCAGGGTCAGATAAGAAAAAGCCCTCACTGTAATATGTCTTTCCACTGCACCAAAACACAAGCCATATGCAAAGGTACTATTGGTAGAGAAAGGGAAATAGCAGTGTGATGATTCAGGTAGACTGAAAGCATGAAGTAAAATTACCTCAGTGGGAGGAGACTTGCCCTCTCCTCTGGGCCTGAAATGTTGAGATTTTGTGGGACTGGTCCCTGTCTCATTTTTCAGCACTTAATAAAGAGACCTAGTGCTTTCAAATATGTTAATTTCAGAAAAAAAGTTTCTTCTTACTTGGTTCAAGTAATCCGTTCTTGGAGGAACTAAGTGAAGAGAAATAGAAAAGGCAATTTAAAACCTAGATATGTTTGCAACTAATGAGATTGTTAGAAGTCTGGTTTGGTGAGAAACCCTAGCCTCTGGGCCATATGCCACTGCAGCTGGTCCTGTGGCAGTCACTTCTCCATTCCATGACCTTTGGAAAGCATGGTCTGCACAACATGGATCATAAAAATATATCAGTCTCCTGAATATTCAGCCCAAAATGTTTATGTTCAGGTGAAACTGCACCTGTCATTCATATCAGAGGGCAACATTTCTCAGTTGTTGTTTTATGTGTTAGCTTATTTCAAAGCAAGATTTGAGTTGGGTAAAAGGGATGTATACACTATCCTGTTAGTTAGTTGGTTCCTAAACTTAATTGTGCTTACCAGCATATATGATCCAACTAAGTAATTTTTTAAAAACCCACTAATGTTGATACACTGGAAGAAGGTCTTTCTGAATATCTGAATGATGAAACCAATTGGAGCACACATGAAGTTTGATTATTTAAGTAGTTCCATTTGACTATTTATTATATTTCCCTCAGCAACAGTTATTGAGGGAGCTGCTTCAACAAAATAATATAAGTGATTTGTCTGGGTTCAGCCATCATTTGCTTCTCTTCCACATGTGCCTTTCCATCGGGCTGGGTTACATTCCCGTTGCCTCTAAGAATCCCAGATCATCAAAAGGTAGAAAGTGTTGGAGAGTTTATTTAGGCCAGGTGTTGGGTTTTTTTTTTTCTGCCAAGGGTTATTTGGATATTTATAACAACATTCCCAAGCCATACAAAATTATCAACTTAAAAATTAGCCTGGTATATTTGGTCAAACATCTAATTAACTCACCCCTAATGTGATGGCTGGAACTGCCATCTTTGGTGAGGCGTGTGCTGTTAGCTGGTACTGACAATGTTGCTACTTACAACTGCTTTTCCAGGTTTGTGTTGATCAGTCTGGAGCGCAGTCGACTCTGCGACATAAGTTTTGAAAAGAACTGCTCGCAGCAGTAAGTTGTTCTGAACACAGATGCATATATGTCTCCTCAACGTGGGAAATTCATAATTAATTATGTAACATTTATAGAACTCAAGCAGTGGGAGGTTGTTGCACCTAGTTTTCAGCTCATCATTACTTTGCAGCTGAATGATTTCATGTTGTAGGTTATCAGGCATATCAGCTGTTTCCACATTGAATGGTGTAGCATAGATGTTCAACTCCATTTGTTGACTTTTCATGTCCTTGAATCCTTCATTAAATACCTCAAATAGTTTCACACCTTCACCAGCATTTTCAAGGGTAGTAGCAGGCTTTGTCTTTCCAGAGTAAGGAAATGCACCATGTTATTCCTTTGGAGTTGCACTTTCCACAGCCTTAATTTAGCTTCAGATGATTTCACCTTTGAGAGCAGGGTGCTGAGAAGCTGGTTGGGGTCCTGAAGTTTGACATTCAGCTCTGAGAGGTATTTGGTAATGTCCTCCATAAACGCTAAATCGCACAGCCACTTGCTGTCATTGAGTTCCCTGACAGGTTTTCCCTTCATCTCCATGAACTGCTTGACTTCATCCCGAAGTTCATAAAACCTCATGAGCATGTTCAAGCAACTCAGCCACCGCACTTCACAGTGATAAACAAGATCACTGTGCTTAGAATCAAGATCTTTCAGTAACCGCTTAAACTGGTGGCTGTTAAACCCTCCGCTTTTGACAAAATTTATGCATGACACTACTGTTGACATCACACTGTTGAGCGGCAATTACTGTGCACAGAGATTTTCTTGGTGTATGATGCAGTGGCATAGAATTAAATCATTTGGATCAAGATTGAGACAATTCAGTTCTTCCTTGACAAATGCTATGAACCCTTTTTGGGAGCCAACCATGGCTGGAGCTCCATCTGTAATAAGGCCACTTAACTTTTCAAATGTTAGCACATGTTTTTTCATTAATAAAACAAGTGTCTCAAACAGGTCCTCACCTCTAGTAGTGCCATGCATGGCTTCCAGTGACAGCAGTTCGTCTCCCATGTCAAACTCTGAAGTTATTCCACAAACAAAAATGGTCATTTGGGTAATATTTGTTATGTCCATTGTCTGGTCACAAGCCAGAGAGAAAAATTGGAAATCTCCTGCAGAATCCTTCATTGTTTTATCAATATCTTGTGCTAAGTCAGTAATATGATCTGAGACTAAATAACACTTGGAAACAATTTTGCCTTCTGTGATGCTAACAACTCCACAGCAGCCACCATGCACTCTCTCACACACTCCCCTCTACACGTGGCCTCAGCTTCTTTGTGTTAGCTTGCTCACTACATAACTCATCTGAACAACGAGGCCAAGTGTAAGTGGCTTGTTGTGATTCCAAACTCTGCTGAAGAGCATTGATTTTATCCAAACACATTTGGCCTCCCAATTCATTGAGTTTAGCATGGTTTGAGCTGTAATGATGTTCCAGATTGGCTTTTTTCGCTACTGCTAACACATCGCCACAAACAAAAGGCATACAGGTTTGCCTGTGACTTAAAAAAATAATCATTTGTCCAATTCTCTTGGAAAGATCAACACTCTGAATCAACTTTTCTTTTCTGTCACCATGTGTAGGATGTCACACCACTTTATTTTTAATAACTATCCAGTGTGTGTGTGTGTCACCAGCAATGAGATTATTTTGCTTTGATCGCTGGTCTAATCCTGCATCTTGGATTTGGAACATATCCTAGGTTCTTATCATAGACTCTTAAGGTCTTTTCTGTGTACTATACTTTCCGTAATCTTCATTTGAGATTCAGTGTTTACAAGGATTGTTGATCACGGATGTGTGGATAAGGTTGGATTGGAGTTATCATCTGTGTTAACAAGTCAATAACATCGTCGTCAATCATGGAGACAAGGTCACTAACGTAGCAAGGAATCATCATATCTGGGCTCATCATCACCAAATCGCTGTAGTTTCACCACATTGTGTTAACACTTTCCAACATGTACACTCTCAGCCTGCCTTGCACTGACTGTCCTCTGAGTCACCACAATATAGGCAGATGGACCTCGAGCAGCCGACTAGAAGCATACATGTCTGTCCTGTCATGTACTCATATGCGTCCTGTCTATCCCATAATGAATGTTCCTTGCTTGTCCCTCAAAATTTATGTTAGTACTATGATTCATTTAATATAAATTTATGTTGTTATGAAAAAAGCTCCTAAATTTATTTAATTTTGAGTTCCACCTGTAGTTGCCTTGGCAGGGCCAGTCCAAATGATTTTGCGGGCCTTAAACAGCCCGTGGGCTGGACATTCCCCACCTCTGATCTAGGCAAAGGGCTGTTACACTTTTCTATGAAGGGCCAGACAGTAAATATATGTTTTGTAGGCCATATGGTCTCTGTCACAACTGCTCAACTCGTGCTACTTCACTGTAGCATGAAGTTCATCACAGATAACATTGAAAGAAATGAACGTAGCTGTGTTCCAACAGAAGTTTACTTACAAAATCAGGCAAGATTTGTCCATTGGCAGGATTTGTCCATTGGGTTTTAGTTTGTCAACCTCTAAGCTTGTCTAACTTCCTCACTTTACAGATAAGGAAAAAGAAAGCTGGGAAGATTGAGAATTTCCCAAAGACACTGGATGGTTTATAGCAAAGCAGATCCCCAACTTGAAATGTAATCTAGAGCCCAGCTTTTTATTTAGCATGCCACACCAGCTGCACCTCGTTTCATGAAGTTTCTTCTGCCCTGTGGATGACATAGGTGTGAGTAAGAAAGTAGTATTTGAGGAGATTATGCTCTAGTAATAGGTAATTATTTAATTAAAAATCTTTGAAGAAAAGATTTTATAGGAGATTGTCATTCATTAGTGCCATCAGTCTCAGTGCCATTGTTATGTTTCAGGATGGCATCAAAAGAGAGAAAACTTTAAAAATTGTTATTATGTCATAGGGCCTCCTTTTAACAAGAGTTTCCACTAGAGTTTATTTGAATAAAGCCAGCAAACTGGGGTTTTCACTTCACCAAAGAATAAACAGCCTCCAATGCAGAAGTTCTTAATGTGGAATGTAGGGGGCTAATGAATCCCTGAAATTTATGCCAAAGTTTCTATGCCTACAATTTTTTTTCTTGGGACAGTATGTACACTTTTTTTCAGATCCCAAAATAAATTTGTGACTCCCACAAGTTACATGTTTCTAGATGGTAAAAACCTTTTCTCCAGCCAGCCTTCCTAAACAGACAAGAAAGAATGAAGGCGCTCCAACCAACCTTTTTTCCCATGAGTCCTCAGTGGCTGCTTCTCCAAAGGGTAGTAAGCTGATCTCCAAAAGAGTCCAGAGAGGAAGGGACAAGTAGTCACAACTGGTTGACATAGATGGATACATGAGCTTAATCTGTGGGATGAGCTCAGCATTGGGGTCCTAAGTGGAATGATGCTCTAAGTTAGTAGACAGCAGTGCTGAAGTTCCAGTTTATCAGCTGGCTCAGAGCAAGACCCCATCAATGACTGGGTCCATGGAAGGTAAAGTTCAATTTCCAGAAGCAAGTAAGTGGGCTTGACTTCTGGCAACATGGTGGACTGAGTTAACTCAGCCATTCCTCCTGCTACAAACACAGAGAGACCCTGGATGAAATGGAATAAAAAAAAAAAAAAAAAAAAGTGTTTTTGTTATTTTGTAATAGAGGTTGACTTCAAAAGAAGAAATGGAAACTCTTATATGCCAGAATCAATGAGTAAATTCGAATCAGAATTTTCAGCTTGAGCTGAAGCCACAGTAGCCCAAAACGCTAAAAGTTAGACTTTTAATTCCCATGCATGGAAGAGTCCACTCAAGGTAAGAAGTTAGAAGAGGTTTCATCCTAAAGCCAGAACTCTTGAAGGGCTGCTGGTTTATGAGAGGGGGTCCAGAAAACTCCATGCAATGGCCTAGATAGGTATTAAGTAAGCTTTCTGCCTGGCTCAGGGCTCTAACTAGGAAAAAATGTCTACTGTGAATGAAATTAAAAACCAATATTACATGTATGTTCAGGGGTGGGATCTGAATTTAAACTACACTAATAAATTGAGAATCTCTAGTTGAAGAAAAAATGGTCCACATTGGAGATGTCCAATGGATGACTACACAAGACAATGGCTGAGACCTCACAATCTAGGAAGATAACCTCTACTGAAGAAGAGCTAATACAAATTTACACACACACACACACACACACACACACATCATGGAAGAAACAAAAACTAAAGATTATTAAACAATCTGGAAGAGAATATAAAATAACATGTAGAAACCATTAGGAAAGAAAAAATTAAAAATAACAACAAAGGTTTGCAAAAGAACCAAATAGGAATAGTAAGAATGAGAATTATAATTGTTAAAGTTAAAACCTCCTTGGAGCATCTTCCTGACAGGCTTGAATTACCTGCCATTACCTGTCCTCTCCAGGCTGTCCTGTCCTGAGATTAGCTCCCTGAAAGGGAGAGGGAAGTGTCCACTTTCTCGACAGTTTCTTAACAGGCCTGTGACCCCCGAGCTGAGTAGAGCCTTGCTAGGACTTTCAGAGCTGTCAAGGATGTTTTTAAAAAAATTAGACTTTTTATTTCTTTTATAACATTTTAGCATTTATATGCAACAACTCTTGGAAAAGGTACTAAGTGAAAGGGGGGGAAATGAAGGAGGGGTTCATATGATTGACATTTACTTTGTATTATTTCCAGTGTTCTCATTTTATCTGTAGATAATTGCATATTTAAAAATGTAGATTCCAAGATGGCGACAGACAGGACCAGAGCAAGGGTGAGCGTGTGAGAGTGTGAGTGAATGTGAGTACGGATGACCAATCTTGAACAGTGCAGAGACACAGGGCAGAAGGTTCCTGTGCTGAGGACGGAAAGCAGCCGGCTAGTAAGCAGCACATCAGCAAACTCTCCCCTGTGTGGCCGGAAGGCCCCACCATTTTGGAAGATCCCAGGTCTTCCTTGGGAGGAGGAAACAGGGAGCAGCTAGGGTCAAGTGACCTGAGTTCACCGGAGCACCTTGTACTGTCAGTTCAGTGGACTCAGCTGTGTCAACATGGTCAGCACACTGTAGCAGCGCTATCTAGGTGCCTGCTGCAATAGCCAAAACCGGCTGGGAGCCAGAGCCCCACCTCCAACAGCAGCAGTGGTGGCCCACCCAGGCTCATAGCGGCACTAGCACCAGCTTGGGAGCCTGCCACCTCCCACTACAGCAACAGTGACTGAGTAGGAGCAGAGTCCCATCCCCAAAGGCATTAGCAATTCAGATTGGCAGCTGAAATCCATCCCCAGCAGCATCAGCAAAGGCTGATGAGGAGCGGTGCCCCAGCCCAAGCAGCAGGGCTAGGGCAGCTGAGATCTGCCCCTGACAACTGCACCAACGGAGATGGAGTGGAGCTCCTCCCCCCAGCAATAGCAAAGCCCCAGGTACGAGCATTCTCAGCCCCCAACAGCAATAAAGGATTGGGACCTGAGAGCACCTCCTGGCAACAGCGGCAGCAGTCGCAGTGCAAACCGGGAGTTAACACTCACCCCCCGCAGTGAGTGATCAGGAGCTAAGCCCCACCAGGCAGCAGGGTACCCCAACAGTACACCACTGGGACCTATGCACCCCAGCAGGGTACCAGAGGGACCCACAAAACCCGGCAGCATACCAGAGGGACCCGCAAAACCCAGCAGCATACCACGGGGACCTACAAACTGCAGCAGGGGACCAGTGGAACTCACGAACCCCAGCAGTGTACCAACGGGACCCACAAACCCCAGAAGTATACCAATGGGACCCACGAACCCCAGCAGAACACCAGCCGGACCCACACACCCCAGAAGCATACCAGAGGAACCCATGAACCCCAGCAGAGCACCAGTAGGACCCACTCACTACAGAAACATACCAGCGGGACCCATGCACCCCAGAAGTGCACCAGACAGACCCACACACCCCAGGCAGCAGCAGCACATATCAGCAGCTGAGACCCATCCCCAGCAGCATCAGCAGAAGCTGATCAGGAGCAGAGCCCCAGCAAAAGCAGCAGCAAGACTCGAGGAGCAAGCAAGACTGAGACCTGCACAACAGACCAATACCAGCCACCAGGTGTCAATCCTCCAGGACACGCAAGAGGAGCCATACACTGAAACCGGCTGGAAGGCACATCAGCTTTAGTTGATACACACCGACCTGCCTACACACTCCAACATCCCTCACCCAGCTTAGAACTATCAGATTGCTAAAATGGTAAGACAAAGAAACAACACCCAAATGAAGAAAAAGGAGAGGAACTACAAGAAAAGGATCTACAGGAACTAGAAGAAAGCAACTTGTCAGATAAAGAATTCAAAGCAACGATTATAAAGGTGCTCAAACAATTTGGTGAGAACTACAAGCAACTTAATAAGAATTATGAAGAACTCACTGGGAACTACTTCAGCTTAAAAAATGAGGTAGAAGCTATGCATAAAAATCAAGAGGAAATAGAGAATGGCATAACTGTTATGAAAGATACCATAGAAGGGTTCAATAGTAGATTAGAAGAAGCTAAAGACCAAATCAGCAATTTAGAAAACAAGGTAGAAAAAAACACCCAAATAGAGCAGCAAATGGGTAAAAATATTAAAAAGCAGGAGGAGAGTTTAAGAAAGCTGTGGGACAATACAAAACATAACAACATTCGCATTGTAGTGGTACCAGAAAAAGAAGAATCAGAGAAAGGAATAGAGAACCTGTTTGAAAAAATAATGACAGAAAACTTTCCTAAACTGGTGAAGGAAAAAGTCATACAAGTCCAGGAAACACAGAGAGTCCCAAGCAAGATGAACCCCAAAAGACCCACAGCTGACACATCATAATAAAAATGGTAAATGTTAAAGACAAAGAAAGAATCTTAAAGGAAGCAAGAGAGAGACAGAAAGTTACTACAAGGGAGATCTCCTTAGACTGACAACTGATTTCTCAATAAAAACACTGCAGGCCAGAAGGGAGTGGCATGAAGTGTACAAAGTAATCAAGGCAAGGGACTGAATTCAAGACTACTCTATCCAGAAAAACTATCATTCAACATTGAAGGAGAAATAAAGAGCTTCACAGCACATAAAAAAAAAAATAATAAGCTAAAGGAAATTACCACCACAAAATCAGCACTGCAAGAAATGCTGAAGGGAATGTTGGAAGCAGAAGAAGAAGAAAAAACAAAGAGAGAAAGAGGAACACAGGCATGAAATAAAAATGTCAACTAATAACTATCAAAAATAACCTCAAATGTAAATGGCTTAGATGCTCCAATCAAAAGACATAGTATAGCTGACTGGATAAGAAAACATGACACATATATGCTGTTTACAAGAGACCCACCTCACAACAAAAGACTCACACAGAATAAAAGTGAAGGATGGAAAAAATTTTCCAAACAAATGGAAATGAAAAAAAAGCTGGTGTAGCAATACTTATATCTGACAAGATACACTTCAAAACAAGGACCATAATAAGAGACAAAGAAGGTTACTACATGATAATAAAAGGATCAATCCAACAAGAGGATATAACCCTGGTAAACATATACACACCAAACATGGGAGCACCAAAATATATTTAAAAACTTCTGCAGGACTTCAAGGGAGAGATCAATAGCAATACAATCATAGTGGGTGATTTTAACACCCTACTGACACCACTGGATAGATCTTCCACACAAAAACTTAGCAAGGACATAGAGTTTTTAAATGATGACCTAGATCAGTTGGACGTAATTGATATTTACAGAACATTTCATCCCAAAGCTGCAGAATATACATTCTTCTCAAGTGCACACAAGACATTCTCAAAGACAGAGCACATTTTAGGACACAAAGTAAGTCTCTACAAATTCAAAAAGATTGAAATCATATCAAGCATCTTCTCGAATCACAATGGCATGAAACTGGAACACATTTACAAAAAAAAATTCAAACACTTGGAGGTTAAACAGTATGTTATTAACGACTGGGTTACTAATGAGATCAAGGAAGAAATTAAAACTTCCTGGAAACCAATGAATATGAACACATAACAACACAAAATTTATAGAACACAGCAAAAACAGTCCTGCAAGGGAAGTTCATAGCACTACAGGCCTACCTAAAGAAAGAAAAAAAATTCGTAATCGACTCTCTAACCCTACAACTTAAAGAACTAGAAAGAAGCCCTGGACGGTTTGGCTCAGTGGTAGGAGAGACAGCCTGCAGACCAGAGAGTCCCAGGTTCAGTTCCTGCTAGGGGCACGTACCAAAAAAAAAAAAAAAACCTAGAAAGAAAACAAAAAGAAAAACCCAGAGTAAGTAGAAGGAAAGAAATAGTAAAGGCCAGAGCAGAAATAAACATAGAGACTAAAAAAGGCAGTTTAAAAGATCAATGAAACAAAAAGCTGGTTCTTTGGAAGGATAAACAAGATCGATGGACCTTTAGCCAGACTCTCCACGAAATAACAAGAGTACCCAAATAAACAAAATCAGAAATGAAAGAGGAGAAGTAACAACTGACACCACAGAAATACAAAGGATCATCAAAACATACTATGAACAATTACATGCCAACAAATTGGACAATCTAGGCAAAATTGACAAATTTCTAGAAACAC